TTTGAATGAAATGGGCATAGAAATGGTGCAGCCAGCAGGTGGAGTCAGCTCTCCTTTTGATAAAAGCTATTCAATACTGTCAGGCCATCTCTAATGTAAATGAAGTCTGATAATGTTCTACGAGGCAAATGGGTGAAAAATGAAAGGAAATTAAAAATATGGACTCAGGTGAAGGGAAAGGCAACCATTCTTTGAAGGTTTTATGAGAAATAAGGACATTTCAGCTGAATTTGCTAAGGTGACAGTGGCTGTAGCACCCCCGTTTGACCAATCGGCACCAAAGTTGGAGGGTCTGTCTGGGGTCCAGAGCTACATTAGTGGGTCAAATTTGATGAGGATTGGCTGAAGCATGGCTGAGATTAAGGTCGTTGATTGAAATGAGCATGGAAATGGTGCAGGTTGGGTGTGGCTGGTGGCCATACTGTACAGGCAGGTCAAGTTATTTTTATAAATTATCCATAAAGGCAGTGTCTTGATTGACCAGCTACCAGAATGACCTAGGTGGGATGGACATTGTAGGAGTTATAGGAATATGTTATTTATGGAGTTTGCAAATCACTGTCATTAGATGGAACATATACAGTGGTACCTCAGAACTCGAACTTAATCCGTTCAGAACTCCGGACCAAATCCTAAAAAGTTCGAGTTCTGATCGAATTTCCCCCATAAGAAATAATGGAAAACCAATTAATTGGTTCCCGGCCCCAAAAAATTATGCCTAAATATGTATTTTTTTTAGCATTTAAACACAAAATGAACCAGATAAAACAAGAGCATATACTGTACTAAACATCTAAGCACATTTATCAAAACAGTAATTTGTAAAGTAAGAAAATAAAGGTATCCAAACAATGTGTAAAGTTGTCCTTCCGTGTGCCACGCCCCCTCGTTATCCCCATGTGGAATCCCCGTGTGATCAGCTGTTTCTGGTTGTTGTCATTAGTCCTCTGTATTTTGTCCGCGTTTCAGTTTGCTTCCCCAGTCCGGTCATTGTATTGTCTGTCTGCGTTTTGCCTGCCTTACCTGTAATTAAATCCCGTATTCCCTGATACCCTGACGTCTGCTCTTTTGTCTCCGTTCCGTCCCTGTTTGGCACGACAATATTATTATACTTAAATGCATTAATGGTTTATTATTAATATTAAAATAATTAATAAGAAATCTTTTTTTAAAATGTATTTTATTATATAATAATTACTGTCTATCATTGTCTAAATGTATTTTTACTGTCTAAATATATGTATTCAACATGTAGGATGCTATCACAGCGAATGCCAGGCTGAGAGTGAAGCGTTACCATTTGTTACCGCTGAGAGACGTGCTGCGTGACTCATTACCCAATGCGTACAAGTTATCTTAGGTTGGTGTTCACGGTTTTACTTCTGAGTTCTAGCTAATTTTTTTTCGAACTGGTTGGTTCGACTTTTAAGAAATTCGAGTTCTAATGAGTTTGAGAACTGAGGTACCACTGTAACTTGGAGTACAAAGGATTTTGAGCAGTAACGTGACTGGAACAGAAATGAGAAAAATGTAAGTTGCACTGGTTTTCCAGGTTTATACAGACATGTTATATTGCTGTAGCGCCCCCGTTTGACCGATCGGCACAAAACTTGGAGAGCCCTTCCCCAGTACTGTCCTACAGGATATATTCAAGTTTGGTGACAATTGGCTGAGGCAGGCCTGAGATACAGCTGTCTGGTTGAAATGGGTGTGGGACCTGTATGTTCTGGGTGTGGCTGGTGGCCGTACCTTACAGAAAGTTTAGGATTTTTTTAAATAATTATTTATAAGGACTATCTCCTGATTTAAATGATACCAGACTTATGTAGGTTGGGAGAAAATTCTAGGAGGTTAACAAAAAGTCCTGTTTTCAGACCTATATAAATTATGCAAAAACGAAAATATGGATTACCAAGTTCTACATGTTGTTTGATTTGGCATGTCATACTGAATTGGCTTGGTAATAATTGTCAACTGTAGGCTTGACAGTTCTGGAGAAATAGGCAGAAACACAAAAGTAGTCACTGTAGTGTCCCCATCTGGCAGACTGGGGTGCCCTTACCAGGGTGAGGTCAGGGTCTGTAGACACATGGATCATCCAGATTTAGTTGAGATTGGTGATTGCTAGGTCTGTCAAATGCATGCTTGATTTTCATTAGCTAATTATGGCCACCATTGTATGACTAATGACTGCCATACTAAGGATCTGATCTCAGGCTTGGCCATAGTAGACATATGCCAAATTTCACTTGGATAGGCCAAGCAGTTCAGGAGATATTGGAAGTAGGTATTTGTAGTGCCCCCTATTGACTAAATGCGGGCCGCTTTGTATGGTGTCCCCAGAATGGAGCAGGGAGGTAGGATTTAAAGTTTGGTTAAGGTAGGCTAAGGCAGGGAGAAGTTATAGCAGTCAGACTGAAACTGGGCAAATTTGGGTGCAGTTTGGGCGTGGCAGATAGCCGTATGATACAGAAATGTTAGACTTTTTTTTTATAACAATTGATCAGCTCAAAGCTCAAAGTCTGAATTGGTCAGATAGTGTAGGACTTTAAGGCAGAAGTAAGTTTTGTAAATTATGCAAATTAGCAAAAAATCTAAGTAGGCGGAGCCTAATAGTTTCACTCTGAAAGTTGTAGGAAATTTTTTATTTTATTTATTTATTTATATTTATGTATTTGCAGACTCATGATCCATAAAAAAAAATTATTCTGCCTGTATCTAGAAAAAAAGAATTTCGATTGTAGGACTAACAAGACAGGAGATATTGGCCTTAAAGTGCATGGGGGGCGCTATAGCACCCCCATCTGACTGACTGACTTGGGTTGGAGGGTCTGAGTAGTGGGTAGGAATTAACATCATCCTGCCAAGTGTGGTTGGCCTCGGTCTTACGGTTTAGGCTGCCCCCTCCAAGCAGGTTTGAGGATTTGGATGTGCTGCTATGACAACACATCCAGCAAGAGTTTCGAAAAACCAACAGATCCAGGATCATGCCAAATCGTCAATAATTACATCCGGCTAAACCAGTAATCCACGTACGAAAAATACCCACCAGTTCATTGACGGTTCGTTGTAGTTGAATGTTTATGTCAAGCTGCTGTGTTTTGCAGTTCTACTTAATTTCCTAGCCCTACTCCCTCTGTTGTTCAGTTTATTTCCCCAGTTTGTATTCTGTTTTCCCCAATAAATCCCCTTTGACTCAAAGCCGCTTGTGGATTGTCACCTCTTTTCCTGCTTGTGCCATGCCATTGTAACAAAAGCTGCCATCAGATGCTGTAACCCCATAAAAATCCAAGAAAAAACAGTAACCCAGAATTCAAAAAGACTTAAGGTGACTTATAACAACTATTATAATCCTGTAAAGACTTTATAAAATTTATAAAAGCTTCAACATAGGTGTCACACATTGTGATAACTGCTGTCAGATTCTGAGATTTCAGGAAAAAGCAGTGATACAGCATTCAGAAAGACTTCAGGTGATTAACATCAATACAAATTAAAATCCTGGAAAAACCTCATTACTGGGATCCACAGGTCAGCTCTGGCAAAGGGGTGACTTTCTGACATCTGATATCAGATTTTATGTCCCCAGTGTGAAAATACAGCAATACATTTAAAACATGTTTTCTTTTCACCGTGTTTACATACTTCTAATGTTGTCTTCACACTACATCCAGCATTCCTAATTGTGAAAGTACATGTGGCGCACCACAGAATGCGGTTTCGTACATCACAAAATTGGCCAGATAAACAGCTGTGTATCAGAAAGGAATATAAGAAAATTGAAAAGAATAACTATCATGTCGTTTTAAAACATTTATTTGAAATCCCCATGTACAAACATGAATATATCCTTTGTTGATAATACTATTTAGCTTGCATGCATCCCTTTTGAAATAAATTAGGAATAAAACGAACAATCGTGGAATAGTCGCAACATTGAACATCGACTACATGTTTAGTGGCTTAAAAATACCTACTCTTTTAGCCACCTATACTATTTGCGAATGTTAATTTTAAAAGAACGTGCAGAAGAGTTATTTTCAACACTACAAATACTACACTACGAAATACAAATGAGGACGGAAGAGAAAGCAGAAAGCTGCTGCCTTGAAAAAAGAAAAAAAAAACACGGCACGCAAAATGCAAAGAGTACACGTGAACTAGAACCTTGCGTTCATTCCCAGTAACGTGAAACAGCGCCCCTGGAATCACATATTATGACGGTCACAAAATGTGGTGTAGCACCTGTGCCTCTTAAGCTCTCCATTTAGCAATTTCTTAAGAGATTGTTTTCCTAAGTATGTTTCCCGAACAAACACCTTTCATAAGATATATCTTTTGTAGGACGCTAAGAGTCACCGTTATTGGAAAACGATGCCCAGCTGGGTAGTGGTTACTTTTAATCATTAATCCATATTTGTATAATTAGTTAACATCCGTGTGAGGGATCCAGGACGCTAGCATACGTAACAAATCTGAGGAAATGACGGATGAACTCCATATGCGTGTGATGGACTTTCGCTAAATATTTAGACCGAGTGCTATTGTCTCCGCCCTTACTTGCAAAAGACTAGTTGCACTTGTCGACCATTGTCAGCATCTACTCTAGGGAAACGTAACCACGCTTTTGAACATTTAGTTCTCTCCGCCACCTTTACCAAAAGCAGGATATCCGTGTGTGCTGCACATTACTGCGCGTGAGTGTGTGAGAAAGAGAGCGAGAGGGAGGGCGGGCGAGCTGGCCTGTGCCCCGCCCCTCACACGCAGGCTCCGAGGGACATGCCGAAAATGCTAGAATATATGTCACCATAAGGAGCATATTACATAATACATTTTAACTTCAGGTACCTGTGCAGTAGATCAAATATTAAAAAAAAATATGTAATGGCATGAGTATCCCACATTCTGACTTTCATCTAAAATCCATAATTATAACACAGTAATTTAAAAATAAGGTCGCAATAAATAATTATTTAGAATAAGCATTAAGATATACTCACTCGCTTGATTTCCATTCTCGGACATTTTAGACCAGAGTTAAATGTGACGTGATAGCATGGCTTTTTCAGTTAGTGACCCTGTGACAAAACACAACATTTTTACGTAAATAATATCTAAGGCACAAAAGAAAGTAACCCGGAAAAGCAGTATAGAATTTAAATGTTAAAACCACGTCGCAACACCTGTTAATAAAATTAATATCGATAGTATTCCGTGTGACAACGATTAGCCTAATCGACAGATGTACAGAGCACTTACCGGCTCGCTGGTCTCATCGCGTAATCGAAGCCGATACCTGCGAAGGACATTTATAGTCTCTCTTGAGTTTCGATTTCGGTAAAACAAAAGTCATTGCGCTCGTTCCGTGCCTCGTAGCTGTATGAATTAAATACTACACACGTCATGACAAATATTTTAGGGGAGAGTGTGAAAATAAAAAAATCGGTATATTTTGACGTCCATACTCCTTCTGGTAGTGTGTTTGTGTGGCGGCTGCGGAACGTGTTGATTTTCATTTTGGCACTCAATGGGTTAAGGCCAGGAAAGAAAGTTTCGCGCACACACGCCAATAAAAGACGGCTGTTATATTATAGCCTTTAAAAGGACAAACAGCAACCACTACTCCAGCAGAAATATTGGAGTAACACAGAGAGGTCTAATGCCGCACTGTGAAGCACACAAGGTTTACATGATAATTATACAATTTTAATTAGAGGGCATGAAAATAAGTAACTGGCACAGATCGGGCCACACTTAGGTAAAGTCTAGGGTGACCAGACGTCCTCTTTTACCCGGATATGTCCTGTTTTTAAGACCTAAAAAATGTGTCCGGGCGGAATTCTAAAATTGTCCGGGAATTCATTCTACCTCAGCCTCAAACATTCTTACATTGGATTTGCGTTGCGTTTCTCTTGGTACGTTCTCAAACTAGTTACTTCGCATTGGAAAAATGGTGACGCTTTTTACCATCTTAAGGCATAAATCGTGTGGAAGTGAGTAGGGGGAGGAGCGAAGTAATAGTTTCGGAAAAGGCATTACAGCCATTGGTCGGTCGAACTAACTCTTCATGCTATCATTGGTCAGTATACACTTCGATAGCACCAATCATTGTCCTCAGCACCGCGAGCTTCCCTGTTTACAACAGCACATGACGCCCGGCATCTGTAGTTAGAAAATGCCTAAACGTAAATATAAATGCACGAACGAACTAAAGAAAAAATATTGATGTTTTCGTCTTGGTCGTGATGCATGGGAAGCTGAGTGTATGACATGCAAAGCAGGAACATTTGTGTCAGTGTCAAATAAAGGTGCCAAAGATCTGGAAGCCCACATGAGTTCTGCAAAACATAAAACTGCACCGAGGGGAGAGAGTTCATTGAGTAAATTAACGGAGTACTCTGTTACTGCTGCAGAGGGTGCCTCTGCTTTCCATACGGTAAAGCATTACAGTAGCTACAGAGCAATGGACTGCACATCTGGCTTATTTTGATTCGAAGAATGGTGGCGTGCAAAATAAATTACTTGAAGTTAAAAGCACCCCAAATGAGTCAACTGACACTATTGTGCAGTCGAAGAAACACTGGAAAAGAAAAGGATATTTTCTAAATATTTTCTAAATTTCTAAATTGCATTTAAAAGTGACAACTGCAATACAATGTTTGGGGGAATCCGGCGTCATGAAGAGGGAAAGAAAGTTATTTTAAACTTAAAGTCCTTGCAGAACAAGCCTCTAATTGGAGTGGGCTGCCCAGCACACATATTAAACAACTGTGTTCACCACGGGGCAGACACACTAAATGCTGACATTGAGAACATCGTTTTCAAAATATATCACTACTTCCACATCTACACTGTATTGTGCATAATACAGTCTGTAATCAGTGTAATCCGTAATCAGTCTGAAAGAGTACTGTGAGTTTGCTAATGTAGAATATAGAAGTCTCCTATCTCACAGCAACACACAATGGCTGTCATTATTCCCAGGAATTGAGAGACTGCTCCAGATGTATCCAGCCTTGAAAGCATTCTTTCTGTCACAGGAAAAATTACCCACACTGATCAAGAAGTTTTTTGAAGATGAGTTCAGTGAGATTTACCTCTGGCAAATGCATTCACTCATATGCGTGTTCCAGTCGCACATTCAGGAGATGGAGAGGGAAAACAACTCACTTGTGGAAGTAAGGAAGATTTTGAACAGCATCCACACCATGCTTCATGAACGCAAGATTGAGAACTTCATGCCTCTTAAAGTTAAGAGTATGTTGGCACTGAAGCAGAAGGATGAATTTGGGCACAGATGTGACCATTTCATTGCTGACGTGGAGGGCCTGTACAGTGCGTGTCTAGATTATCTAGAGAAATGGATGGCACCCATGGAGGAGTTTTCCTCTTTTATTTGGATGTATCTGAGTGAGATGCCAGACTGGAATGATGTAGAAGGCTGTATCAAGCACCTAGTTGAAAAAGGGGTGAAAATTGATGATGTAAAGTGCTTTGATTAGGTCACCAGTCTAAGGAAATTTATTGAGAGGAGCAACAGTGATGGAGATAAGAACATAAGAAATTTACAAACGAGAGGAGGCCATTCGGCCCATCAAGCTCGTTTGGGGAGAACTTAACTAATAGCTCAGAGTTGGTAAAATCTTATCTAGCTCTGATTTAAAGGAACCCATGGTTTTAGCTTCCGCTACACTAGCAGGAAGACTATTCCATACTCTAACTATACGCTGTGTAAAGAAGTGCTTCCTCAAATTTGTTTTAAAATGTTCT